CTCTCTCTCTCTCTCTCTCTCTCTCTCTCTCTCTCTCTCTCTCTCTCTCTCTCTCTCTCTCTCTCTCTCTCTCTCCCTGTTACTTTTCGACCCTTCCACCTGCCAGTTCGTCCAGTCTCAACCATAGCAGCTGATTGGATCCGTGCACCCCTTAGCTGCCGACTGCTTGCGGCCAAATCTGCCCCCTTTGGAGAGGTACTGCTGGTGATACTCCTCTGCTGCGTAGAATTTTCTCGCAGGAAGAACTTCCGTCACAATCTTTCGCCCAATCCGTGCCTGCACTTCCTCGAGCGACTTCTTGGCTGTGGCTTCTTGCTCTGGTGTGTAGAAGTAAATCCCGGACCTGTACTGGGTACCTACATCGTTTCCCTGGATCACAGACAATGCAAACTATTAGCTTGAATTAAAAATTCAAAGAATTCAAATAAAACATTATAAAAGAATTTAAATAAAATAAAACCCAGGGGATTAAATCCCAGACCTGAGGCCTCGCTGCACCACTCACGACAAGCACAAAAGACATAAAAGATGTCGGTACATCTTCCCATGTTCTTGCGGAAGATTCATTTTCCTTTTGCACATTCGGTGAGTAGTGGAGCGAGACCCCTGTACCAGGTACCTATGTCATGTCCCTGGATCACAGGCAATGCAAACATAATTATAATTAGAGTGAATTAAAACAATTCAAAGAAGATTTTCAAAATTAAATTACAAGAATTTAATGGGCGACGGTCTTGAGATATCATAATCGAGTCAACCAGGCCCCAGGCAATTCAGAATTATTTCATTGCATTCATCAGCGTCCATCAGCACTCAAGATCAACGTCCATCAGCACTCGAGCTTGGGTCTGTATTTCAACAGTAGTTCACGGGTGTGCCAACTGGGCTAGGCTCGTTCGTGGGTGTCAAGCGGTTTGTCTATAAATAGTATCCACAGTGTAGAAGAGTCTGCAGGCAGAGAAGAGGAAGATAAACCCACGTTATCCACAGTGCAGCAGAGTCTGCAGTCAGAGCAGATACAGGAAAAAAAAACAAAAGAAACAATAATAAAAAAAACTTATGTTATCCACAGTGCAAAAGAGTCTGCAGCCACAGCAGATAAAGCGTTCTATACACAACACACAAAAAAAGAGCATGCCAGAAGTAGAGAGATCGTACGTTATCTATCATCCACAACGCAAAAGAGAGCTTGCCAGCACTGGATAATGTCATCGTCCACAACCTTATCCACACGCAACGTTATCCACAACATTATCCATAACGTTATCCACAACGTTACCCACAACGTTATCCACAATGTTATCCACAACGTTATCCACAATGAAAAAAGCTCATCCCAAACGGACATAGACGTTATCCACTGCTTGCCAGCAGTGGATAATGCCATCATCCACAATGCCGAAGAGCATAGAATCGCTGGATAATGTTATCTTCCACCACTCAGAAGACCATGCAATGCTAAGGCCAACCATGGTTTGAACCATGGTACACACAACAATGACACTATACCATATTCTATCATCCCCCTGTCTTCCACGTCTCTTCCTTTTCGTCACTCCCTCCACTTGTATTCCTCTTCGTGTCGTCCTGATTATCCTCCAAGTGCCTCCCTCTTTGTGTATTTCTCTTCATGTTCGTGTATTCCTCTTCGTGTATTTCTCTTAGCGTACAATGCTAAGGCCAAGCATGGTCCGAACCATGGTACAAACCATGATGCCATTGCTTTACCATATGCTATCACCCCCTATCCTCCAAGTCTCCCTCCACGTCTCCCTCCACGTGTCTTCCTCTTCGTCTCTCCCTCAACATGTCTTCCTCTTCGTGTCTTCCTCTTCGTCTCTCCCACCACTTGTCTTCCTCTTCGTATATTTGTTTTCGTGTATTTCTCTTCGTGTCCTAAATATCCTCAAGTGTCTCCCTCTTACATGTCTCTTTCCTCCACATGTCTCCCTCTTAAGAGGAAAGAGGCAAGGACATGTGGAGGAAAGAGATGTATCTCCCACCATGTGCCTTTCCTCCACATGGGGTCTTCCCTCAGGTGTCTTTTCTTGCTTCGTGTTTTCATTCATTCATTCATTCATGGATGAATTGGCAGAATTGACTGATTGATTGGGTCATTGGTCATATCGATTGATTGATTGATTGATTGATGGCCCGAATGGATTGGTGGATTGCCTGAATTGATTGGTTGATTGCCTGAATGGCTTGACTGACTGCTTGCTTGGTTAGCTGGTTGGTTGGTTGGCTGATTGATGCGTTCATTTGATTGATCAATCAACTAAAGGTAGTTGATTCTTTGATTGGCTGATTGACTGATTGATTACTTGATTACTTGATTGATGCACTGCTTAGTTAAATAGATGTCACTACCAGTGGTCAATTGATCCAACGATATACTGATTGCTAACTTCATTCTTAGCCATTACTGGCAATGAACCATGCATTCTGAATCCAGTATGTATGTGTGTTAATGCTGAGCACGGGAGAGGGATAGAGGGAGGGGGTGGGGCAGAGGGAGAGGGAGGGCGAGGGCGGGGGAGAGGGAGAAAGTCAGGGAGGGCGGGAAGGAGAGAGACAGTGTTACATCTTCGATGCCACACGGGTCCTACCGGACCCGACTTAGGGCCGGAGGGACACACCAAGGCCTAAAGGCCCGACCTTGAGGGTCACAGGCCCTAAAGGCCTGATTTTGCACTCAGCCCAGTGGGTAGGCCCAAACGACAGTTTGTTTGGGCCTGGCGGCTCTCTTGAGGCTGCCACCCGCCGAAGGAGGCTGAACCGTCCATCTGGACGGTCCAGGGTCTGGCTTGGCCTCGCAGCATTGRGGCCAGACCATGGCCTACCGGTATAAGTACCGGTACCTGCCTCATTCTGAGGCATCGAACCACCGGCACTCTACCGGTGCGTTATGGTCAGCGCCAGAGCGCTGTTTGACGCGCTAAACYTAGCGCAGGGGCTGAAGCAGGAGCGCAGCATAGCGCGGATTTGCGCAGCAGCGAGCGGAGCAGCGGCAGGGCGACTGAGCCAGCACGGCGGCCATTGCCGCCTGAGGTACTGGGAGCTTGGAGGATCTCTCCTCCTCTCCCTCGCCAGTCCCCTCTCTCTCTCTCTCTCTCCTCTTCTCCTCCT